GTAAATTGCTGCTGCCTTCCTCTTATTTCGCTTTGATATGGAATTTTCTTCTTTATTTTAATTTTTTTATTGCTCGTTGATTTTTCCCTGCCGGTCTGCTTCATTTGAATTGTGCGTATGTATGTACATATGTATGTAAACATGAGAAGATTATTAGTACATCAAAAATAACAAATACGAGAAATACTGCTTCCAGATGTTGCCATATGACCTTTTTGATGTATTGGTAAAGTCGCATTTACATTCAAATATGTATATATGTATATGTGTATAGTAGTATATGCAACATAATTTCCCTTTGTAAATATTTTCAAAATCATATTTTTTTATGATAATCACTAATGGATGCGGCTTTGGTTAAACTGCCGCAGAGCTCAAAGTAATATAACATTAATACGCAGCATAATGAACAACAACCAAGAGTTTACCAAGAAACGCTCAACGGTTACACAAAAAGTTTTATTAGATTTATTGGCGGACTAATTAGAAAATTTACACATACTTACACTGTTCGAAGTTTATCCAGCCCAGAGAAAAGCGAAACATACAAATAAAAACACCACTGAGTGAGATCCTTCTACCACTTCTCCAAATAGGTAACTTCTGCAGTTTATGAGCTGGGGAGGAAAATTCGCCTATTGGCGCTCCATTTCAAACAGAGGACAGAAAAGTCTCTGCTTTCCGCAAGTTCTTGAATTTATGGACATTTGCGGCAATAACATTTTAGTCATTATCTGAGGAGAGAGCACCGACAACCTCCTCCAGTCTCTGCTGAACAAATTTTACCTCCCGTATAGTCTTGCCGTTTCAGTAGTACAGAGAACACCTGATTTTCTTCTGTAATTTATTGAATATGAATGGAACAGTTCGAAAATTAAGGATCGACAGTAAATCGTAAGAGGGATGGAGACCTATCTCGGCAGCCAGTTCGAAAACGCCCTATCTCAGAAAACTTTTCAATGACGCCCTATTTCTGAATTTGGTTGAAGAGCGTCCTATCTCAGAATTTAATAGGGTGTTTTATAACGAAATTCTGATATTGGGCGTTAACTAGAACAATCCTTCTAGCCCATCTCCCTTCGCTTATACAATTTTGTCCACTTAACGCGACCTTCCTACTTTCTGAGGATATGAGCTGGGAATGAAAGCTATTATTGCTTTATTTTCGTTGAATTAGATTGCAAAGTCTATTTCTTTGATTATTCACCGGCTTGGAATTAGTATAGCAGACGTTGCACTGTTCGTAAAGTGTAGATGAGACTCGAAGTACTAAAATGCAACGCGCTGCCGATATAGCTTGACGTATCCTTGTCAAAACTGACGTATTATGAGACTTACAAGCAAAGATTAGTCTAGACCGAATAAATCGGAAGAGTAAGTTAAGGTATATTGATTGGGTCAATTGAGGAACCAGCATGGTCTGCCTAATAGTTAACATGATTTTTTGTCTCATCCCAAATCGATAGATGGGGTTTAGTGCAAAAAATTGTGGAGTTTCTTAGTGCAAACGCGAGGCCTGTTGCAGAGTCTTACTTAAGTGACGCTCACTGTAGACTGGGTTTCTAACAAAATGTTCTTATAGTAAGTCCGATGACTTTTATTTTCATAATAGTCTGTTGGATAAGTTTTTAACGATAAGTAACTTTCCACACCCGAATGCACAAAAACAGAAATCGCTCAGACGTGCTAATGTCTCGGACAGTATCGGCGTGTTTTTGTTCGGATGATCCTGGGCACAATCGTGGGCTATCCTAAGGACTACCAACAGTACAAAACATACATAGCAAGTCTGTCGTGGATTATGGAAATAGAAGCCAACTGGTTACATGGATATTTTCTAAACACAAAATTTCCAGAACTAGAAAATTTTTAGGGGTGTATTGGGTAATTAACTGCGATCAATAGGCCTATAACAGATACTAAAATGAAATTTCTCTCGCAGCACTCAGACCGACAAAAGGTCCTTAAGATTGTGTAAAAACTTTAGAAAAACAGAGGAACAGCCCGAGGATAATTGCGGTATAACTACTTCTGAGAATATTGTGAAACGGAGAAACATGCCGAAATATAAAACCAAAAAAATTTTCTAAAAAATTATTCTATGATTTAAATTAGAAACCCAAAACCACACAAGATACGCAAGTTGAGTATTCATTTATTCAGATAAAGGAACACATGATTATATATTTACACTTATACACAGATACTAAATAGTATTTATGAATGGGTTTGTGTGCAGTTTTCTGGAAAAATTGTAATTGGACGCTAGAAAAAATTACCAACGGTGACACTTTACGCAAAGTGGTTGAGTAAAGGCGAATGATGAAAAACAAAAAAAAAAAAACAAACAAACAATGCTGAGGAAAAAAATCAACAAACAATGAAATTCAAAAGAAATATTAAGGTACAAATAGAAACCTACCAAATGGAAGTGTTTATAAAAAATAGGAGCTAACCAAGAAGCGATGCCTACAGATTAAGGAGTGCAAGGAGGGGAGGAGGGTTAGAGTACAACGTGTTGAGGTTGACTGCGCTTTGAGGTAGGGCCACGGTGATGAAAGGAAATAAAAGAATCTTTTGTTTTCTTTGTGTAAAGATACTTTAAATGTCATCATTGTGCCTACCAACAGCGGCAGCGAACTATGAAAACAGCAAAACAAAAATGGTGATAACATTTACATATATGTCTATTAGGGTGGTGCAAACGTACATATATGGGAAAATAAATTTTCTTGCTGCCATCTTCCAAAACTGAAAAATAACGAAAATAAGGAGACCAGTACTTTTTTTACTTTAACTGTGCTGCCGGCGCTTTGATGTTTTGCATATCGTCGTTTAAAGTACACGACTGCGTATCAACAAAATGCAAAACCGCATATGTGAGGTTGCATAAATTATTTTCTTGAGAGTGAAAACACTTATATATAATTCAGAATTGCTCACATTTTTATAAAGCAATCGCATTTCTGGCGTGTATATTTCAAGACCAATGGATAAGGATTGAGCCAAGAGCTTGTGTGAGCAAATCCGATTTTTGGCAGCAAATGTCAGTTAGGCGGTTTTGCAGAATGACGATACGCGGTTTGGAACTTTAAACGACGATATAATTTATATGGAGGAAAATAATTTTTTTCCTAGTGTTGCTATAAAATCGTTCACAAAGAAATATTTGTTTCATCGATAAAACAAACTATATGCAAGTATAAGTTTAAAAGTTTACTAACTATTTTTTCATAACGTGCTTAATGTCCTTAAGAATACAAAAAATACAATTATTTTGTGTATGAGAGTTTAGATTATCGGTTATAAAATTATAGTAAGTAAAATTTTAAAGTAAAACATTCGTCATAATTTTATGCTTTGAAGATCTCTGAAGAGAAATATTGTTACTCAACCAAAAAATATTTATTTTATTTAAACGATTTTATAGCAATTTTCTAATGTACTATATTCGTCATCAAAGTTTCGACAGCGCAGTTAAATATTAAACGATAAATAAAAAATACAGGGCTCCTTATTTTTACTACCCTTCAGTTCTAAGGAGCTGCTGAAAAAAAATGGACCACCTTAATGTATAGATGTGTTATAAATATGGATATGTATGTGGCATATTTGGAAAAAAATAAATAAAAACAAAAACAAAAGCAGAAAACAAGGAGTATTATTTCAACGCTGCATTTACATGCAATGCATTCTTTTTAGTTTATTTTATTTTTCTCGCTAAGATGAGATGCTACAAAAGCAAATAGGTAAGTATATATGTAGGTATGTATGTATCTGCCTACTCTTGGGCTCTGCAATCAGGCAAACATAGGGCTTGACACACGTGCATGACTACAAATAAACGACTCATCACTCCAAAATGTAGAATGAAGATATGCCAAGTTAAACATATTGACGTATGAATTTGCGTTCTATGGTAGCTACTCAGCAGGAAATTTTAAGTTTAGATCAGTAGTCGGTCGAACTTTACCAGATTTGAAGAATCAGTCAGTTAAAACGCCGTTTTTTGCAAAAAACATAAAAGCATGTTAATTAGAGCATAGCCTCCCCTCGTCCTTGATGGGAGCGTTTTCCAACGCTAAAGTTGCTCTTCGCCGCTGAAAAATTCCCATGAAAGAGAATGGTACAGTTGCCTTCCTGAGGAGAACTGTCCAACACCATTATGTTATTCAGCAATTCCAGCAGTTGAGTGAGTTCTAGTTTTCCTCTCAGCTCATCAGGCGTTTTGGGTTCGACCCCACCTAACTAAGCCCATGCATACACCGATATTATACCGTATAATCAATTATCCCCCATAGAAGTAATTTGCGTAAAATCAATTTAGAAGGTTAGCTAGTAATATATAAATAACCCAGATTCGTGCAATAATCCTGGATTATATAAGAAAACTGAGAAATTTTTGTGAATTAAGAAGACGATTAGTCAGAACCTCGAAGTGGAATCGCAATGCCAGTTAATTTTGCGTTAAAGGGGACCCTCATTTTCGTATACACACCTAAATAGAATACTTTTAGTGGGTTCGTAAGCAACAACTTCTCCAGTACTTAAAAAGCTTCTAAACCATGATAGTATTTTATCAGAACAAAACAGTTTAGAGAGTGTTGCTAAAGTGACTGGCCTTGCTATATGACCTCTTCAGAATCAATTTTCCTACAGGGTCAATATCCATTTATAGTAGCCTGCGATGACGTTGAGAATTTTCGTGCAACAAAGGTCTACAAAATATGTATGTACATGCAGCAGTCAACGCTCATGGCAACAGCAGCAGCACGCCTGCACTGGTCGTACGGCACACACAACCAGCTCAACATCTTCAGGAGGTAAAGTGGCAATGCGTCACACTTGTAAGGCCCTACAGAATACAGAGAATACAAACACACACACACACACACACAAAACGCACTTATTGGCATGGGGGTGTATGCGTATGAATGTATGTATGTATGTATGTACGTATGCATCTATGCTTCGAGTGCCTTGCAGAAGTGCGTGCAGAAGTGTAATGTGTCGACAATAAAGTATGCTAATATATTTTTCTTGGCAACAGGGTTCTGCTGTTTCTGCCGCCTAGCAACGCGCTGGCAAAAGGAGCTGAAAACGAAAAATGAAGAAGAGCTAAAAAAAAAACATAGAAAATAAAGTGGAATATGCAGCATAACAGCTTCTAGGCAGCAGCAGGGAATGGCTAAGAGGTGTAGCGCGAGTACGGAGAAGACACTACACTGCCCCAGCAGCGGCAGCGCACTGCGGTTCAAAATTTGCATTTTGTGTTCACAATTCGCTGGAGCCTTCCTTTTTCACTCAATTTGATAATTTTTAATGAAAGCTAATAAAATACTAATCATGAGGACAGTTGAGCCCGATTTTTGAATTTCGATTGGTTTGTATTACATTTTTTAGTGCAAGGAAAAATTTGCAATTTGGAAGAAAATCGATTCTCCTAGTCCAGTTTTTAAATGTTACATAATCAAAACTAGTTAAAAACAATTGTAGGGTTCCCCCAAAACGAAAAAACAATTTTACATAAAATTTAATTTTAAATGTAATAAAAACAAATTCAACGAAATCAAATTTATTTTTTTTTGGCTTTTATAAAAATTTTGGGTATGCAGATTTATAGATCATTAAATTTTTGTAGGTGTAACAAAGTGCAAGTTGCAAGTGACTAAGTGTTCGCTTTGATTTTCAATAATAACAAAAGCTTTTTAACCGACTTCCAAAAAAGGAGGAGGTTATCAGTTCGTCGGTTTTTTTTTTATGTATGTTACCGCATAACTTTGGACCACGTCAACTGATTGCGATAATTCTTTTTGCATCGGAAAGGTAGTGTCTCAGAGGTGGTCCCATACTAATCTGGTTAAGATCCGATATCATGAGATATATGTATATATATATTTTTTTTTTATATGAGAGTTTAAGTCGTTTTTTTTTGCTAAAAATTACTTGTTTCCCATTTAGCATGGATATGTGCTCGAAATGATAACGAAGAAAAGTATTAATTCAATTTTTATTATTGTAAACACAAAATGCTAATTTTGAACCACTGTGGGCAGCAGCAGCAGCAGGGCACGCATAATCAGTCCCGAACCGTGAGCCTGCAAAACAACCAAGCAACCAACCAAGCATGCAATCAACATCAAAAAGCAACGTCATAAACAAAAACAACAACAATAATAATAATAACAGCAACAGTGGCAGCATCAACAACACAAAAGATAGCAAAACTGCAACACTCAGTAAAAGGCGCAAGGCGTATAATCAAAGTCGTAGCCAGTGTAGAAAAAATAAATAAATACATATAGATATAAATATAAGCAGCGCAGAGGAAAGATTGGCTCGCCGAGAAAATGCGAGAAAAAAACGTAAAGGGTGTAAACAGCTTTATTGAAAAATTGCAATTTATTTACTGCCGCTGCGTTGAATCGAAAATTTCGCCTTTATTCTTTACAATTCTCGGCCGGAGTAGCAGGGATGTCTTTCGTGCCTTATTGGTGCGCTGCTTGCAACAAAAGTTTCTTCTTCTGTGCCACAAACGAAGGTAAAAGTTAACAATTGTCTTACTTTTCCCCACTCCAGCGTCTTTCTCCCAGCAATGCGCTATTTATGCGACGCCTCGGCTATTGTTGTTAGCATGACTTCGGGAAGGGAAGCGAAACAAATTAAAGAAAATGAAATTGAAATGAAAAGATTGGGAAATAGAAAATTTGCCTAACAATAAATTTATGAGACGCAGTTATATATCCAAAACGAATTTAATATTTTTCATTTAAGCCGCCGAAAAGAGTACACGTGAATTTTCACTACGAACACGCACATACATACCTACATATAACGCTACTTATATGTACATATACAAAGAAAATATGCTACAGCAAGAAAAGAAAGCTATAAAAACAGATTCGCCAAGGATATTAACTGCGTAGTTGGCAGCAACGAGAAAAGGGCGAAAATAAATTCTAAATAATAGTTGCCAGGCATTTATGTATGTAGGTATTCCTAAGCTCCTCATTGTTTGGCGCACAAAAAAAAAAAAAAAAAAATCAAACAAAAAAGTATTACCAAAAATAAGAAATTATAAACTATTGAAAAGTCCCTGCGTGCGCTTTCAAGTATCCTTTAAATGTGAATTCATGCACAGGATGTATGGACGCCTTTAAGCCTTTCCTTTGTTGCCCAGCATTTCTCTTCGAAAATCTTGTATGTACGTAAAAAAATACTTAGCACCACTGCTTTTCAATCGCTTATGTCCGTCCGCAACTCCTTGTGAATTTGGGTGAAAGTTGTAATGCAAAAGGGTTAGTTACATTGCCTCTATGCAGAAATATTGAAAAACTTGCAATACGTACATATGTACATGACAAAGGAAGCAGATGAAAAAAAAAAATACAAACGCTCCATGCTTTGCATGTTTAGTCCCTGCCGGTCTGCCTTTGCGCGCTTGTAATACCCAGCTCAGCTTATCAGCTATTGTGTGTGTCGAATTAATCATCCGAATTTCCAATGATATTCTCATATTTCTATTGTCCTGCATTGGACACACACACACACACACACACGCACGCACAGATGACACATTAACAACAGGTTTTAACCCTCTATAGACTACATGCTATTTAGCATTTGAATGGCAGGCATGCTTTGTGTCGCAACATGAGAGTTGATGTGGGAAAACGCTGTAACTACATATATTCCATTGAAATTTATTTTCATTAGTGAAAAGCGTTTTTCTTAAAAAAAAAATCTTTTGAAAAACTTCTTGAAATTTGCATTCGAATTAGCTACACTCAATGGGCGTTTGCTTCCCCTTTATGTTTGTAAAGCGTATTTTTACTAAGCTGCTGAGAAAGTTTTCGTTTGGCAACAATTTACTCGTATTGGGAAACTTTTGATTTTTAGATTGATTTTCTTAAGAATTCAATTCAATCCAAAATTTGCATTCCTTTTCTCAGACGCACTCTGTTTCCTTTGCTTTGCATAACTTTATACAGCATATCGTGGAATTATCAGATGCTAATGTGATTACCCGAAAACTTGCGTAAGAATTGAAAACTCTTTTTTAAAACTTTAACTGAAATATCCGGATTACTCAACGCCGACCTTTCCGTTTCTGTTAATTTTTATTTTTTTTTACTGAAAATGCACGCCATGTTCGTCCAAGTTGAGTTTATTTGGTTTGGCCTGGCATTGTTATACATATTTCAATTAACTGATTAAGGTTCCTGGCTCTTCTTCATTGCTGCAGAAGTTGTTATGGGGGTTGCCCGATGGAAATATGGCTTGTTAGCACACCCACGACTGCGGCTGAGTCCCCTCTGCTGAGCATAAGGAGATCCTTCGACCTTTTTTGCACCATTTTGGCTCAGTAAGTTTCGTATTGCTGCAAGTGGTGCGACTAGCCCACTTATCACTTGAGCTTACAGATAGCCAGCAGCATGCCTAATCCTTTCAAGACTACGAAAGTGGAGCGGATATGACCCCAATTGCAAGTTCGCCTGCCTCGGTATGTTCCGGTGCCCCGGCACCCATACCAAGTATTTTTGA